TCCATATACATAAGTATATATTACATAACAAATTGATTGCAATTTTAAGTGGTGTACCACACGTACATATTGCCTACGATACAGACTCGGCTGTAACTGTAGCATAAAAAAAAGTAACGTTAAGTTAATTTTATGCCCGACCGCGTGGTTTCTTCCTTGAAGAAGGTGCTTCTTCGGACGAAACAACACCGGTGGTAGCGGCCACACGCTTCGGACGTCCTGCTATTTTACTAGATTGCTGTGTGGCTTGAGCAGAACCTTCAAATTTAATTTTATTTTATTAAGAAATATAATTCAAATTTTCAGTCAATTGAATATATCTTATTAACGTAATGTATATATTTTATATATTTTTCTTATCTCATATCAAGTTTAAATTATTTTAAATTTTGTTTTATAAAATTCTATTGAATAGCAGAATTTTTTGCAAAAATTCATTTTCTTCATAAAATATATTTAAAAAATAACAGAGAGAGTTCGTTTTAACGTGCAATATGTAAAACGTTTCATACCTCCAGGTTTTGTTCTCGGAACCCCTCTGGTGCCATTATTACTCTGCTGCTTGCCGTTCTTCTTTAAATCCAACTTCTTCATTTCTACATTATTTTTGGTATCCGTCACAGCGGAATTGGTAGCGGGATTGACAGTAGTTGTTGTAGTAGCAACAGTTGCAGCAACTGCTGTAGTCGCGTTAGTCGTGGCAGCTGCAGCAGTAGTAGAAACATGATCGTTGTCTAAACTATTGCCGGACTTTGTGCTTCTGTTTAGTGCTCTCTCTGCTCTACTGCTGCCTTTCGCGACAGATTTAGCGATCGCCAATGCTTTGACCGATCGTTTCTTCGCACGACTCGCTTTGGACGTTTTCCGATTTCGATCAGATTCTTCGTCATCTATGTCATCATCCGTAGAACTCGCAATTCGCTTAGATTTTTTACGATTTGATTTTTCGTTATGCAAGCTTTTTCTTCTCTTCAGCTGTGACTCATCTTTATAAAGTGACAGATCCACTGCGGAAATAAACATTGCAATTACTTATTTGATATGTAAAACTGTACATAAGATAATAAACTATAAAATTTGTGAATATTTATTATCATTTTGTAATATTATTATTACTTACATCCATCAGGATGTTCTTCTGTAACTCGAGGTTTCTCAGACACTCCAGCCTCAACATCAATAGCCCGTTTTAAGATATTTTCTGTACGTAATAGCTCTATTCTGGTTAGCCAGAATTTATGTTTGTCGACTTTGTTTAGGTTTAGATTTGTTAATATACAATCAAAATCTGAAAATTAAGAGATAGAATTAAAAAAGATAAATACAACATATATCATCTTAACATAATAGTGATAAGTATATAATAATGCTATAAATAAAAATAATGTGTGACAATACCTATGGTATCATAGAAATCGGGTGAATAGAATTCACCATTGGTTTTATCTTGAGACAACCAACGTATACGAATGCGTCTGCTTGATTTGTAGATATTTTGCATCGCTTGACAAACATAAAAGCTTCCTTCTGCATTTCTCACAGCCAAAAATTCGTTTCTAATAATAAATATTTAATAATTAATTCTCGTTCATAAATATATTAAGATATTAAGTTGTTTAAATATTTTTGTAAAATGGGATGCTTACTTATAGAACACGATGAGTTTGTCGTCAGGCGCTTTAGAACCAGGAGTTTTATTGAGATTTTTGACCAGTAAAGCGATTTCTGGTAATGGACTTTGATAGGGTTGTGTTTGAATCCGGTTTCTCTTAGGTTTACTTGCTCCATCGGTGACTACAGTAGCAGCTACCTTCAAATCTTTCAGTTCTCTGGATTTTCGTTTGGTTGTCTTCGGAGAGGTAGTGACTTTCGCGTCAGGTTTATATGTACTAGTTAATGTCGCAGCTGTATTATCGCTCGATACTTTCAAACTCTGATTTGTAGGTTTTGCCTTTGGAACATCGTTCTTAGTTTGTGTATCTTCTGGCTTATGTGGAGATTGTTTTATATGTACAGAAGTATTAACGGCTTTGCCATCTGATTCCTTTGATCCATTATTTACAGGGACCTTCTTTTCCTCAACTTTATTTTGTGCTGGTGTGCATATTGCTATAAAAAAAAATATACTGCATATAAATATAAATATTTGCATTTATTTATTTTTTTATTATTTTATAACATAGATTTATATTAATATTTTGCTTTTGCACCTTTAATTCGCGTAATGTTGTTCTATGTGTTTCATTTAATTCATTTTATTTCCAATTTTACTTCACACAAAACAATTGAAGTAGATATATTATCACGTATAATTATAACATAAGATAAACAATACAATTTTAATAGCAGAATATAAAGTATTCATTTTTTATGTTACTAGATACATTCTATTACTAGATATATTCTTTCTCAAGTAAAGAAAATGTTAATTTACATGTAGAGAGTAAAGAAGAATAACATGTTACTTACGAGTATTCATTGGAAACTCTATTAAAGAAGTTAGCACTTGTTCCGATTGCATTTCACACGGTTGTTCTTGAGCAGGAGTCTCTGGACTCAGGTTGTTGTTTCTGTTGGATTCATTTTGTTTTACAACAGCAGGCACGTCTTGCTCGGTTTCAGTTTTTGTAATCTCCACACCGTTTGGAATCAATTTCTCTGCTTCTGGTTCCTTTTCCATGTTACTTCCTATGTATGGTGGAGTCTGATACACCGAGGGTCTATGGTCTTGCACCAGACTAAGTGGTTGACTGGGTGGTTGCAGCGTGACATAACTTATCCCGCTGCCAGTCAGGGGTTTCATCGATCCTGACTCTGATCCTGATACCACTTTCTGTGCCATGGCATTTATGGGGAGCATGGAGTGGCTGGTAGAATACAGCTGTGTACCTAGATGCCATTAATGTTAAAGCCTTGTGTCCAAAATGCTAGAAATCGGACTGAGAGATCTCAGATGAAGAAAGAATTGATCACTCACATTGGTAATATAATCAAATTGTTCAAATATGTGACTTAATTAATTCTTTCTCTGTTAATTCTTTTTCTGAGATCCCGAATCGCAATTTTTAGCATCATGGACACAAGATTTAAGACAAGCACTCTTTTTCAATCACAGGGAAAATTTTTATTTACAAATATAAAACCGATAAAGCAACAACAAGCAGGAGATAAAATAATCCTTTGCAATTAATTTATTTACATTGGCTTATATTACGATAACGTACCGTGCTTGATTGTATACAGTCAAGAACTATATTTTTACTAATTCGTTTAAATATAAAGTCGTGCACAACGAGAAATGGTGTGTACAGTTACTGTTTGTACTTGACAATTACTCCGCTAATTAAACCGAATATGCTGCGAGTCTCGTATCTATTGCTATTCCCGAACATATCGGAGCAATTAAGAAACAAGAAGAAAAAAGTCACATGATAATACAAAGTTTATATAACACAATTATCATCGCGAGTACATTACGAGCACTTTTCTGTATATATTCCTACACAGCGGACCGAGTACCTGAGCGCGTTGCCGCGAACGTAATCCGGCGATAAAAAAAAAAATGGAAACGTTTGTTTCCGCTAATAGGCGAAGAACGCGAGACAGGGAGGAAAAACGCCTGTGTGTGAGAAAGAGAGAGAGAGAAGAGGGAGAAGGGAGGGAAGGGGGGGAAAGAGAGGAGGAGGGGGAGAGCAAGAGCGAGAACGAAAGCGAGAGAAAGAGGGAGAGCGAGAGAAAAAGAGAGAGAGAAACGCGGGGACGAAGAAGCGGGCGCGTGGCGAAAAGCGACGAGAAAATCGCGAAAGGTGGGAAAGGAGACGAGTGTGCAGAGGCTAGCGGACACGAGGGGCAAGGTGGCGGGGGAGGGGGTAATTAAAGGAGTAAACATAAACACGGGCGAATTTTCGCCGCGGGGACGCAGCTGGCGGGACGCGCGCGGCGCGGCGCGGCGCGGC